ATTTACAAATCCAATCTAGTAATAATTACATAATAATCGATTTCCTATTTCAAAAAAGTCTTACATTTTATAACAAATTACAATAAAAATTTTCAAATAGTCTAAATATTTTTATAAATATCTTTTGTATAATTGAAAAAGTAGACAATATATCGAGGCTAAGTGATTTTATATTTAAGCATAAATTTTATTAAAAACTATTATTTACATGTATAAATTCTTAATTTATGTATATATATTTATTTATAGTTATTCCAAAATATCTTATATAATACGGGACGCATATTTATTATGGAAAATACTGATAAAAGTTTCAAAACTATTAATTAATACACTTGGCATTAAAGATTGTATATATATATAAAAACAAAAAAAACAAAAAAAAAAAAACAAAACAAAAAAAATCCCCTCAATTGATTTAGCAATATGCCTATGGTGCTGCAACAAGAGGATACGTGTGAATCGCCTCTCGAGCCATTTTCCACAAATCTATTCGTTTAATGGCTCCACTTTATACGCACAAGAATTATATTCCTCATAAATATGCAACCTTTTAATTGATATCCATACTCAATTATTCTTCACACTTCTCCCCTATATATTCACAAACAATAGACGCGGGTATTGTATTGGTGCGCCATTATGAGCACTTCTACGTTAAAGCAAAGCCGATGCGCAAGCGTTTGCGCATTTTCGACAGTGCGTTACAATGCTCGTCATGCACAAAAGCAAGTGTGCGTGCATACGCAATAATAGTTGGCCTTCGACGTTACTTTTCCGAACTCGGCGCATGATTTTAATTATTTTTACTACGCAAAAGCATCTTACTAATGCTCGTTCAAAAAAAAAAAAAAAAGGACAGCTATACAATCGACATCGATAAAAATGCTCACCTCTAGATAGGGCATTCCGTAATTTCCGTATGTACATTATGACTTTCATGGCTAAATTGTCATTTGAAATTCAGATCCTTATAACCACTTATCAAATACAAAGATAAAGTAAGACCGTATTTACAAATCTTAAAGTTATAAAAGGAACTTTAAAATAAACCGTTATTATAGTCATTTATTGCATATGTGAAAAGATTTTAACCGAAAAAAAAATGAAAATGCAATAAGCGCTAAAGTAAGTTTCAAAAATAGTAAATGATAAAATATTTATTTCCTACTACTTATTTATAGTTTTTACATTCACTTTTTAATGTGGCATATTGTAGAACAATGGTCAATACAACTAATTTCCTATATATTAGGTTTAATTTCTTATTAAAGGTATTTAATAGGCTTATTTATACATTAGGATAAATTAGGATACGAAAAATTTAATAAATTTTGGATTTTGTCGAACGAAGAACCCAACTATTTAAAAAATTAATAATATTTATAAAAAAAAAAATCACTTATAAGCATAGGCTAGACTTTCAAATTTTTTTGTTTTGTTTTGTTTCTTTTCTTTCTTAAACTTAAGGCATCTGATTTAGTACTTATCAAATACCTAAGTCTAATACTAAAATAATAACAGACAAAGAAAGTTCGTGAAAAATGTATTTAACATAAAAAATAGAATAAGACATACTTTATTCTAATATTGAGTAGAACTCGATTATTTTTTAAACCAACTTTTTATTACAAATATTTTAAGATTTTATTAAAACATTCGTAACAAGATTTTAAATGCGATACATTATAAAAAAAATGTTTTCATTAAACATGTTATAAAACATAATTGTGTCGTTCATTTACTTAGGATCAAAAACTTCATAATTAAAACTAATTAATAAATAAATTCATTATTTTCATTTATTAAGCTTTCTTCCTATCTTGAATAGATTCACAATTTTTTAAATTGAATTTTATACATACAAATATGCTTATAAATTTTCAAGGTCAAATTTGATGTTTTTGTTTTGTAATCAATCATTGAAAACAAGTTATGTAGTGCAAAAAAGTTAATAAAACTTTTAAAGTATTTGTATAAAATTAAGCCTTTAAAGGTACATAAATAATTTCAGTGAAACTTTTATAAATTAAATATAAAATATGACTATGATAGACTGGGGACAGACACATTCATCGTTTAAGTTTATATTTTTTTAATGTTTCAGTTAAAAATAATTGTGCACAAATTCAAAATTTTCAAATGAAATGCATCAATACAAAATAGTGCAATAACGACATTAATATTGATTAATCATATATACTTCAATGTTATAAAAAATCATTTACGTAATATCATACGTACAGTGAAGGTAATTTCTAATTATTTGTTTTATTTCTACAAAACAGTTAAATATAAATAAATAGGTTATATATTTTTAAATAATAAGATATTTAAATAAAATTAATAATTTTCATTTGTAAATATTTTTTAATTAATAAATGTTTAGAACATCTTTGTGGGAAATTCTAATAAGTATATATATATATATATATATATATATATATATATATATATATATATATATACATATACATAATTATTGCTTAATGTTTTATTAAATGTTGTAATTTCATTAGTAATGAAGTGTACGCAAACATATTTAAAAATATGTAATTAAATCGAAAAATTCTTAGACGTTACAGGTCGTTCACAATACGTATTTGTATTCATTTACAAAGTATTAAAGACCTGAAAAAGAGCTATATGCATCTAAATTTACCAGAGAAAGTCATCAATAATACACTGTATTACTAACGCTCATAAATGATTCAATTTACAAGGTGAACAAACATCAGTTAAGATTCACACACCGAAGGATGTATTTTCGAATACATAAGTAGAATATATTAAAATAAATATTACTTTGATGATTTTAACTTTATTATTAACCTACTGAGCAATATGATTTAAATTTTCATTAAATTTTAATAATTATTTATTAATCGATTCTATTAAATTTAATGAAAAATAGAGTTGCATTTTTACAAATCTCATAAATAATACAAAAGTATAAATTTAACAATTATTTAATAATACAGAATAAAACATTCATTATATTGATTTATTAAGATACTTTGAATATTATAAAAAGAAATACAATCGTTATTGCATTTTAAAACATTTTTTAGTTGCGAATTGCATTACGAAAATTATAATAGACTTGTTTGAAGGAAATAAAAAAAATATAATTAAACCAATATATTGTAATACTTTTTAATCGATGCACAAGAGCTAATAATGTGATGGATATTTGATGCTTTCTTAAAAATAAATATAGTAAAGAAAAACTAAATATTATAAATTAAATATATATTTTTTTCAATTCAATAAAATTTTTTCTTACTATATGTAATATAAATAAATGCTAAAAATATATTTTATAAAATATAATAATAAGTCATTGCTTTATATTCAGATTTGCTATACAAAGTATTAGCTATATAAATTATAATATTTAAAATAATTATTCTATTAGAAAAAGTTACGTCTCCTTGAAAATCGATGTAATAGTAGCAAGACTTTAATTAATAAATTTAGTAATGAATTTAAAATTGTTCAATACTAAATAATGAAACAATATAATAAACAATTAAATGGCAAAAATATCTTCTTCATATTTTTAAGATTTCTTTAATTAAAAAAATTCTTATTCACATATCTATAATTATATATACTATAAGAAAAATCATAATTCAATATAAACATTTGATATAATTGTAATCTAAACTGGTAAATTTTTCTATTATTTTCATTTATCGTTTAGTGTGCATTGCTCTTTAGATAAGCAATAAAGAATTTAAAATTATAAAATTCTTCGTTACAATATGTGAAAATAAATGAGAAACCATGAAAAACCTTATGCGCTTAATACATAAATTGCATAATAGTGCGTAATACGACGTTACATAATTTATAAACGCAACCATCTTTTCTGCAGGCGTCACATTGTCTAGCTCAATGAATATTGCTTTTCGAAAACCAGACGAGCGGACAAGCCTCCTTTTTGCCGTCTATAGACTTTTCAATGAGCCTCGATTCTTATAACGTAATTATCTCTATTCTTTAAATATAATTACATACCATATTGTATCCATACACAATTATTTGCTGTTTGTAATATATAATGTTTCTAAAAGTTTTTAGTTAATCTGAAAGACTTGGCGGCCGCTTTTTAACTATTTCGACAAGAAAATCAAGACAAGAAAGTCTTTATCGAGTGCTACTTACAATATGGGCGTTCAACAATCTCACTGTTTTTGTTGTTATTGTTGTTGTTGTTTTGTGTTATTGTTATTTTTAATACATACTTTTTAATAAGCACATAGTTTATATTATTGCATTGTTTACAATCTAACGAAAAATTAAAAATACTACTTCATATTTTATATAAAATTCATAACTAATAGATTGTGTATCAAATAAATACCGTGAATGATAAAATGTAATTTATGAGCTTTAAAATGCTTATACATCAATTCAAATCTAATATAAGAATGTATTTATACTAAGTCATTATTCTAAAACTATTAAAGGGATGTATAATTTTGTAAAAATTCAATTTAAAATAAAAACCATAAAATTTCCTTTTTTTAATCAGTTTTTACGAATTCTTACGAAAGTTTTAACGAGCAATTGATCAACAATATATTTACATTAGATTTATAATAAATGTATTGACAATAATTGCCTATTATCAATCATATGTGTATAATAACTTCCATAAAATGGCCTGTCATTTAAATATGAGGTAGTTAGTTGTAAATAAGATTACAGTAAATGTTCTTAATAAAATAAATACATTATTAAGATTTATAACGATCGTATGCATTGAGAAACAAAATTGTAAAATAGAAATTCTTGTAAAACATCTGTGGCACGACGTTTTAGTCTTGCGTTAAAATTAAATTTCAATTGTTTGGAAAGGCCTAGGATTCGCAATCAAACCAATCAAGAACCTTCATAATCGCATCACAATCTGATGGATTTTAGCAGCGGGCACAATGAAAATGCGCATGCACACGACGCGCTGTGACAATTACGTGCTGGCACAAACTTACCAGAACCATAATCCAGACTTGGAACAGGCGGCACCTGGCTCTCGATGGCAGCCATGCTGAAGAGGTAAATCGGATTTGTGTCCGTGCCGGCGGAATAGGAGCAAACCCTGACATTGGACTCGAGGCTCTCGCCGCCGCTCATCAGCAGCACTTGGTGAGCTACAGCGATGCCACATTCTCGGTCGATCGCCTCCTTCAGGTCGGATACACTGTAAAATAGCGTTTCGAAAAATAGCGTCAGTTATTATTTCATTGAATATTCGTCGAATAGCATTAACGTGTCGCTTTTGCTCCTGCAATTTATCTATCGTCCCATCGACAACTTGTAATAAAAATGTTATTTCTGTTAAGACAAACAATTTAAATGGAATTTGCAAACAAGTAATTATATTCAAATAGAACGCTTAATTTGGTTATCATTTATATTATTATCGTGATTAATGAGATGTATTACACTACAGCGAAGAATTTTATGTAATGATCGATACAAATAATATGAAATGCTTTGACAGCCGTATGTTGTCAGACCTCGATAGGAATGCTTTAATATATATTATTAATATAGTATCCATTATTAATGTATTTAGTCTTCTGTTGATGTAACAAAAAATTATTTAATTATAATAGTTTTGTCTTCGAGTCATGTATTCCTTTTCTTCGTCGAGCAAATGATATATTAATGAATCTTTATGATTTTTCTAGCAGTGTATCATTTACAAAAAAGTATTTTTTTTTTTTTTTTTTTTTTTGCAAAATTGTTTAGAAATATAAAAAAATTCCAAGGATAGTTTTAAGCACCGTTTCATCCAATTACCTGCCAAATAAATGTAGTCTGAACTATTTTCAATTGAGAGAAGATTTTTTTCTTGAAGAAAAAAGTAAAGAAGCATGATATGACATGATTAAATTATTATAAATCAAGGGACACTTTATAATACTGATTGTATTTGCTACTTATTTATATAATTTATAAAATTACAGAAGTCGAATAAAATTAGATCTAAATATAATATATTTAAATATAATATGATATATTAATTCCTTAATTATTAATATTCTAAATTATTAACAAGAAAAACAAAATATTTTAATGTTATAAAACTTCGCTTTATTATTATGAATCGTTAATGACAGCGAGTAAATGTAACTGTAACAGATATTGATATTAATGCGAACGGAAATATTTGCAAATCCTGTCTACATAACATGTTAAATTGAATATAATTTTTGAAAGAACTAATTAATAATTGCATATCCTTGGTGGATATTTCTACTAAGGAATTATAATGATGGAATTTAATTAATGAAGAACTTAACAATCAATAATTACGGTGCGAGCATGCGAATGCAATGAATACAATTAGTAAAATCAACGCTACAATTATCCTCAAAGATAGTTCTATCGGATTATACTTATTTAGTAATGATAGGCATATATATATATATAATGAAAAAATATAAAAGATACATTGCCACAATATTTCTAAACAGCAGTACATTTATGATAGTACTTGTATATAATTGCAATGAAATTTCTTTATAAATTTTTTAAATATAAACACAAAAATAAAGAGAAAAATGATAGACTGTATTATGCAATTTTAATAGATACTATTGCAATAGAGGAATTATGCAAACATATATACAGGTAAAAATTTTTAATTTTCATTTCAATTCAATTCACTTATAAAAATAAAATAAACAACAAATGCATTTAAAGCTGTTATTACAAGATTGTAGATACCATCTAAGCTTTATTATTGAAATATAACAAGCGAATGAATTTAATTAAAATTCAAATTGTATATTATCGTAATTAAATAACTTGTTTTGATCACAAATTATAATTCAATGTTAATATTTACTAAAATATCACCACTAACCTCTCAATCTTAAGGAATGTGGAATAAGGAGGAGCAATGAATTGGTTAAAATATAATTATATAGGGTAATAAATCGGAATAAAAATATGATCATTAAATTCGTGTATTTATATTACTTCATTGATGTTTATCAAACGATACACAATTATTTAAACTCGATTGTAAACGGAAAAACATAACCTCCTCAATTGACAAATAATACTTTCTAACAATATCATAATTAATTATTTCACTTCGAGTATTCGTTTTTTTTTGTTTTTTGTTTTTTATTTTTAAATAATGGATTTCTCCTACACTATAATGAAATATGCTAAATGTTGTTATATAAATTCTACTAATATATAACTGTAAATCCCATAATAATATAAAATTACCTAAAGTCTTCATTATTATATAATAAAATTCGTATTATTATTATGCTTACTGTAGATTATAATCTCGTAATAAACACAAGTTTTATTATAATAATCTAGATCATTAACTAATTATATAAGATTTACTCTACAATTTTTATAACCATATGGGTTGACATTCATAAATAAATACGATAATTAATTTAAAATAAAAAAAAAAAACAATAAATTTTATCTCACTTCACATTTGCGTATATAAACATAAAAGCACAGAGTCAAAAGTATTTTTAAATCGAGATAATCGATAGCAAAACAGCTCGCTGCCTTTTTTAATACTTTTCTTTTACCATTTTTCGCTCAATGCAATATCTTAGCAGTGCTGCACGACCGAGTTGAAAAGCGGTCGCAAAGAAGGTGGGGGAGGTGACGGAGAAGGTAGCGGAGGAGGAGGAGGAGGAGGAGTAAGCGAGAGGACTCAACATGAAAAAGAAAAGTCCGGGAGGTCTTTTGTTGCTACAGGGCGCACCGACCTGCTTAAGCAATTTTGCAAAATATCGCTGTATCGCGTGTGCGTATGTATGTACGATTATATTCGAAATCTTTCATCATAGCTCATTTCTATAATTTACAAAGGCCATAAGTTTGATAAGTCTCTGCAAATGTTTTATTACTATCAACGAAAGTGTTTGCATTCGCATCGACACATTATTTCTATTGCTTTTATAATTGCATATTGTTACTGTTATTATTATTTTTTGTTTAAATTATTTTAGAATTTCATTAGCGATATGTAGTAATAATAGAATTCACAATCACTGCCAATTCTATTGAATGTATATTTTATTTATAAACTAGCGAATAAGTAAAATACTACCCTTTTTATGTTTACAATTTGTTGTAATATAAATACACGTATTTCGTGAAGATTTTAATAAATAATTAATTCAATTTGTATAGCCTGTCATATAATGTGAAAATTAACTGATCGTTTATAATTTTTTTTTTCTTCGGTATGCTTCAAAATCTTACATTTATATATAGTTATATTTATTTTGTGTAAAACCAAAATTTTTCCATTTCAATGTGCGATTCGAAGCAAGCGACTTGATGATACATTATAATAAAATTTTTTAGCATAATGTCACGTATTGAATTAAGAAAGAATTTATTTGACAATGTCAACTGAAGCAAATGCACATATTATATAACGATCGGATATCTAGAATTTTACTTAAAAGTATTTAATCACAAATATTATTTAAAAAATCAATAGTGCAATTACTTTTAAGCCATCGCCCTCGTCATTAACAAAAGTACGTCAAAACGTTATTTTATTATAGAATGTTATTATAGATCTAAATATCGGCAAATAAATAATTATGTCACGTTGTTTCTAAATTATTTGTATGATGTTAAAACTAAAAGAATTTGAATTCAAACAATCTTTACTTACACACTTAAATTATATAATTGTATTACTATAATGAGATTTTAGAAAATTTTTACTTTCTTTGTTTTATGAAAAAAAAGAAAATAAATAGTACAAGAAATAATTAGTTTTATGTTAATTTGATCATTCGCGCCGTCATTTCTTGCTTAATAATCTTAGTAAAAATTATAAAAAATATTGCAGATTTCCGGCAACAAATTTAATATTAAACAGGTACATTTGTTTGTTAAATAATCGTGATTTTAAACGTGTATAACGCCATCAATTGATGTGCCGAAATTAGTTTTGCTAAAATCTTATCACGAGCCAGTACTTATAGATAGATGTCTACGAGGAAAACAAGTTATATCATGTAAATTAATAATTCCTAAAACTAAAAGCAACGATAAAACAAGCTTTACTATGTTATTTAAATTACATTACATTTTTAATTATATATAAATAATATAAATATTATTTATAGACGTTTAAAATTTTGAATCTAATTATAGTTGTTAATTCTTAATAAGAATATTTCTTAATAGAATATAGACTTAAGGACACCAGTAACAACGTAATTATTTAACTTCGACATATTGGTAAGTACGTAATTTGATAAAAAAAAAAAAAAAAATTAATAGGCCAATTTAATTTAATAAACAACAAATAGATACAATTTACATTTTATTAAACGTAAGCAAGTATTATAAATGTATAAAAATCCATTATAAAGAATGTAATATGCAAGTATAATGTTATTATAATCATCATTATCGATCCTATATAAAAATCATCAATATAATAATAGATAATTCAGCATAAAATTTATGCGTGAATGTGCGTATGTATCTATGCATGGAATTATTATACCCGAAACAGCAATTCTTTATCGAGGAATAAAAATGGAATGCATAGAGTTGATAACGCGAAGTGGGTGCTATAACGCTATTAACAATTATGTTACCGAATCATATGTAAACGTAAACACGCGATAGAAGAAGATAAAAAGACGGAAGGGAGACTGCAAGAGAAGCACTTTATAACATTGGCGCGCGCGCACGAGCGCCCAACACTATACACAGTAGCCGATGAAATCACAACGTTCGATTTTTCTTTTCCCTTTTTTTTTTCTTACATTGTGCAATGACACGGTGCAACGACGACCATTCGACAAGAATAATATATATTTGAAAGATAGTTTTGAAGTAACGATATATATAAGTAGCGTAGTGATGTTTTACAGTATTTAAGTAGCTTAATTCTAAAGCTTAGCATTTATAGAGGCAAATGTAATTATACCGTTCCTGTTGTTGAAATTTTGAATCTTAGTTATTTAAAATGCTGTGCTTGTCTAGAATATTTTTTTTTTTTTTTTTTTTTGTATAGTCGTATAAGGAGATGACTGTAGAGAATTTCACCAATTAAATAAGTTGCCTTAAAGGCTGACATTGCGTATACTTTTATTTTTCCACAAAATCTAATCTTTGATTTTATTAATGCGGTCAGAAATTTAATGTTTCTATTATGTCAAGCGTCGTAGTAAAAATTATTATATGCCAATAATAATAGCATATATTGTAATAAAGCAGACGAAAAAGTAAAACCTAGTCTTTATCTATTCAGATCATCTGTCATTAAGGAGATTAAAGTATATGTAGTCTTAAACCATTGATTATTATGTCTGTCATCTGTTTTGTACTTTGCTATCGCACGTCCTAGATTCTTTATTTCTTGATAGTAATGTGAGTTTTAATTAAGATTTAAAATTAATTTCTTTAATTTATGATCGATTTTTTAAACATAATTAGGCCTATATACTACACATTAAGAATTACTATAAGATATAAAGCAAATGAAGTTGGTATACAATTGATAATAAAAATTCGTTTTAGAGAGTAAAACCAGATTATGGAATTAAAAAATATAATATCTTTAAACAGCAACATGAAGTTGTCTTAGACAATTTTTTAATCAATCTATAATCTAGGTTAATTGACAGCGATTAGCAATTTATGCATTAATTAACACAACTGTTTATTATAAGCATAAAACTTATAGAATTTTTTTTTCATTTTTTATAAAAATCAAATTTAACACTTTGATACTCGCTAATCTACCACTTAACTCTATTGTAGAATGTACATCAAGAAAATATCATGTAAAATAATTGAATAAAGGGATGAATGATGTATTCTGCAATCTTTGTTATTAATTCTATTTATATTGAATTTTTAAATAAACTATGATTTTTACCAAATAAAATATATAGGTTATAATATTAATGAAGAATCTGCTGTTTGATAAATTCATTAAATCAGTTTTTTATATTACTATGCATATTGATGTGTTAACCGTTAAACGGATGACGACAAGCCGATTGAATAATTTTTTCATTGTTTGTGATTTAAGGATGATGAGAAAAATATTTACCTTTGTAGAGCGAGTTTGATGTCGAAGGTGATGGTTGTTCCAGTGTCCACGTGAAAAACGTAAAGCATTTTTGAGCTGATTAATTCAAATTGTTAATAATAATGCTGCTACAGGTCAAGGCGAACACCTTATTTTTACTCAACAACCGTTATCCAACTATTGGAACCCCTTTAGTCAGCTTGATTGGGGCCAATCCCCACGTTTATGTGACTGCGCGAGGACGGCCCCTAATAGCTTTAATTTCATCGATTGCCAGAGTTATCTGTTGGATTTTCCACTAAATTCCTCAATACTCTGTGTACAGGCTGTTTCGCTATTCTCAGCATTTGTCAATATCATTCAGAATTTAAAATATTAAATCCTAGTCATTAGAGTAACTGTGCCTCCTTATAATTCAGAGATAGTATAAGCAATATTATTTACAGCATACTAGAGTGTAGACAAAATCTTGATTATTCTTAATAATAGAATTTAGGAACCTTGCTTATGATTTTCCATATAAAAGTGGTTTCTGACTAGTTGCATTTTTTCTTTCAATCTTCTTTCAATAAAAACATTTACAAATTCAACGGTATAAATAAAATCTGCAGTACTCCTTGCAATACAATAGTTATAACAGCCTTAAGTTGAGTTACATAAAGAACTTGTAATCCCTTTCTTTTCTTTCATTTACTGCGTCGCTGTAGCCTACAACAAAGGAAAAAAATTGTTTTTTCAATTAAATAATGAAAATCATAATTTCTATTTATTTAGTTATTTTATTTTACTTTTTTTTTTTCTTAATTACGTAAATAGTTGTTAAATAATGTAGATCGGAATGCTAAAGAGCAGCTCTTCAAAACTTAACCTTTGCGCAACAATTCTCCTGCAGTTTTTAAAGCATTCATTCGAATAATAAACATTATAAAAGTATACCGTTATTATTATGGCGGCGAGGGGTTACGGGTTGGGCAGTTGGGGGGTTGGAGGAGGAGTGAAAGAAGTAAGATTTCAAAGCCTATTATTATTATTATTATTATTATTATTGTTATTGTTATTGTTATTATTATTGTTATTATTATTGTTATCATTGTTGTTATTATTATTATTATTATTATTATTATTATTATTATTAATATTAATACTATTACTATTACTATTACTATTATTATTATTATAATTGATATCACTGTCGATGTTACTCCACAAGCTAAGTAGACGACGCAAACAAAACAAAACAACGACGTCGCATCGTCGAGAAGTTTTTCTAGCCCTTAGCTAAAGCGACTACCGATAATGAATACATATGCATATGCATATATATATATATATATATATATATATATAAATGCGCTAATAGAAAATAAAGAAGCGTCGGGTGCATCGTTACTTAACGAATTGGACGGAAGCAGACAACGCATTATTCGGATAGTGAGGAATCAATAAACAAAAGAACGCTAGTGACACGCGTAGATAAGCTATGATATTTCGTCTTTTCAGTCTCTACGAGTCGACGACGCGTTCGAGCTGAACGCGGGTCGAGCCGATCAGCTGCTGCGAGTAAAACAAAGCGCAGTGTCGCTAGGAACAACAAAGGCGTCACGAAGAAGACCGACGAAAGAAGAAATGGGGCGGAGGATGGGGGGAGCTTAAGTGTTCCGAAACTGGAAAAATCGGGAAAACAGGGATAAATGACTCACCCGAGCCCAGTGTCAGGTCCCTTCGTCCAAGCGATACTTTTCCGCGTCTCTCCTCGAGCTGCGTCGAACTGACAAATATACAACGACACTGCTGCTACGCCGAGATCTGCTGCGCCACTATCCTCTCTCTCCCTCTCGCTCTTCGTGTGTGTCTGTGTCTGTGTGTGTGTGTGTGTGCGCGCGCGCGCGCGCGCGTGTTCGTGCACGGGTGCGGGTGCGTGCGTGCGCGCGCGTTTGTGTGGACGCGCGCGTTCCCTTCCTCTTTCTTGCTACGCGCAAGTAAAATACACGGGCACTCGAGTCGGTCGGTCCGTCTCTTGCGCGTAAATACACGAAGCGCTAGTGGCGTTGGCGGCGGTGACAGCAGGCGGCAGTGGTCGAGAACAAAGGAGAGAGAAAAGAGTCTCGGGCTGAAAGACGCATAGGCTACGTGATATCTGACACTAGCTGATGGGCAAACTTCCCCGAGGAGAAAACAGTCCGCGAGAGCTTGCGCTTGCACTGCCAGCGAGCCCCACACAAGCGCTAAGTGCCACCGAGCGGACGGGGGGCTCGATCGACTGTATTACCAAGTTCTCGGTGATCAGCTCTCGGCTAATGAAACGCCAACTGTTTGAAAAGAAACGCGACAAGCGCTAACGAACCGTCGAGCGTCGAGTCGTCGAGCCGACTACTGCTGATGCTCCCAGCTGCTTTCGCTCTTGCGCTTCTTCCCTCGAGCAGTCGACTTCTACGCGCTCGCCAACCAACCAACTCCCTCCACCCCACCCCGCAACGCACCTATTCGCCACCTCTCTTGCTCCCGCACTCGGTCGCTCTCGTCCGCTCCACCTTCCCCACTCCGATACAGGCCAGGCCGACACTGCCGCTCGCATGCATGCTCTCGCCAAGCTTGCCTCTCCCCCCCCCCCCCCCCCCCCCCCGCCCATCGCCGTTCAAGTTGCGCAGCGTAACCTAGCTTCCTGCATCTCTTTAGCTTGATCGGTGTTGGTTTAGGTTCAGCTTGGTCTAGCGAGATACGACGGCACTCTCTCGCAACTCACTCACTCCCCTTCGACTTTAAACTCACCTCGGCTGCCCTCCTAGTGTCGTCTCGAATAAATTCTAATTACAGCCTAGGTCCTTTTTATAATAAAGATCGACAAAAGGATTCCTTTATTTACTGGCGGTCAATTGTTTTCGCGGCACGTTGGCAAGTGGCATTGATATTTCATCCGAGGCAACGTATAGTCAACTTGTCAAAAAGAGAAATATAGAGTCTTTGTAAACATGACACCGTCGAAAGATTATTTTCAGACTGCGTGACGATCGTCACGGGCACTACTGTTTTACCGACTTTTTACAATTTGATTATAACATACGATCATCGATATTACTCATAATTAATTCGATATTCCATCGATTTTCCAAAGCCGTGCGTTATAATTATTTATAAAATATACCAACGATATGTCACGGTCTCGACGTGCTTGAACTTTATTGAAAATCTCATCGATTAGGACAGGTTGCTTAAGTGCTAGTTAATTGCACGATCCATTCTCTTATCCTTATTATCCGTTTAATCGACCAATTTACTGTATAGTTTATACATGAACTGATATATTTTTCAAATTTAGCATATATCTATTAATGTTCTTGTTATGTCTAATAGCGCGTTGTAATTTCGTAAAATTTTAACAATAACCTTCTATCAATTATTTTTTCTATACGTCGTGTATATTTATAATAATACGTAATAATATGTAGGTTTTCCTATAACAGAAATCTATATCATTTAAAACTATCGAATTCTTTATTATAGACGAAAAATATAAATGTCAAATAACTTAACAATGTCATTTTCAATTGGAATAAATAATAATTCATTAATATTACATGTTGTGTAAGGCTAAGGTAGTTATAATAAGTTTTAAAAATTATTGAAGTGAGAGGCGTGTGTCGATGTTATGCCAATCACGTAAGATAATAATACCGTCCAATGAGATTTGAAAAAAATTACACAAAAATAATATAAATCGTTAAATATATAAATATATATGTATATATATATAAAGTTACTAATCACTAAATAATAAATTCTTTTATAAATATGAAGATATTAGCATAGAATTATTATTGCATATGGAAAATTATATAATTTGTAATATTATAAGATTGGTTTTACATTATATACTTATAGTCACATATATGTGAAATATTAAAATCTGCTTAAAGCGGGGAGACGGGGAATTTTTTAAATTTTTGTATAGAATTATTGAAGGGATTATTTGTACTTTTATTCAAAATAATTTACTTAAATTTAATTGAATGATAATACTTATAGTTTTGCTCCGATACGTACATCAAAATTCATTCGTTTTAATATTATAATTGCCCTTTTTGCCGTTTACTGTTTAATTTCACAATTGTTGCATAATATTTCAAAGCAAACAATTAATACAAAATAGTTAAATGTAACATAACTTTTCTTAAAAAAAAAACGTAAATTTATTTTTTCATTTTAACTTTAAATCAAATTACATGAGATCGTAAAAAAGTAATATTTTCCAGAAAACAAGCATAAATGCTTAATACAGATAAGGCATAGAATAAATATATCATGTTTATTCGAAATATAAAGCGAAAATTAATATTGCGTATGTTGACTTCATAGGAAATATTAGAATTTTCATTCAAGTTTTGACAGATAAATAAGTCTATCGATTAAAAATCTTATGCGCATCATTATAAAAGTTTTATAACACATAACTTAGGCGTTTAAACAAAATTGTAAATAATATTATACAAGTGCAATAAATATAGAAATTGTTATTCGAACATATACATTGTAATAAAGGTAAAAGATGTAAATGGTGGTTATTCCTAATCACAAATAAAAAAGTGTGACGGATAATAATTATAAGGCAGTGTATTGAAAAATGATCCATTTCCCATCAAGTCCAAACGTGCCTGATCTTGTTTTCAAATAAAAACAATACATATCGTTTAAAAATTTCCCGGTAATATTTAGCGCAAGCGCACTCTCTGTCATGAGTTTTTAGCAATATGCATGTACACTGACCGCTAATATTTTTCCGTTTAAGAGACTTTCGGTCGCTCGAGTTTCACTGCCTCCCATTTTGCACACTTTTTGCATTTCATTTTCTCTTACGCATAGGCACACGATTTACGCGCAACTTCACTTACACCATTTATATATGTGTAATATTTACTTTTTTTTTCTTTTTTTTTTTTTTTAAATGTACTTATTATTAACTTTTCTACTTGTTTATAGTACTAGTGATCGTTGTCCCATTGCTTTCTTTTCCCGTACTTCTTATAATAATTATGTTATACACGCTATATTTAGTCTTTGAATATGAATCCTAAAGTTCATTCGCTAAACTTTCACTGAAATTTAGAGTAAGGCATTAGAATTAAATGCATTTCAGTAACGTATGTTTAAATCAACATTAATCTTAACTTTTATAAATTCAAAATTCAAAATTAATATGTCATTGTAAAATAATGTGTTACTTTTCATGATATTAAAAATCTTTATAATATTGTTTTTCCATTGTCCTCAACTTATAATATCTGTTAGGACAGTATCTATTTTGAAAATAGAATAAAAATTATCACTAACGGTATAATATATTTTCAAGAGCACTCTTAAATAGACATCAATGCTTCAACAATAAATTGTTAAAATTCTGAAAACATTGTGGGATTTTATTTTTATATATATATATATATATATATATATATATATATATATATATGTATAATTTGTAATATATACATAATTTGTAATTGATTTAATGAGGAACTGAGAAAGAAGACTCATAGTGTAAAAATACTCAGCGCCTAACCTTACCGCTTAGTGTTGTGTTCATTATTTCGATAAATTTACAAAAGCAGTAATTATTCACTTTAATTGGGAATGTTTTTTATATAGTCATGATGAGGGTAAAGAAAGCAAAATCGTAAAATAGAAAATTGATTGAATTAGAGTGAAATAATATTGAATGTGACGCACAGAAGCTCAAAAATGAAATTTATGAAAAAAAAAAAAATCATTAGCAAATGTTATTATTAATTATATTATTGAAAAATAAATCGATCTTATCGTCCAATCATAATTCTATTATAATTCTTATCGTATCTATAAATAGTAATCTTTTTAGGTTGAATGTCAATGCATACATACCGAATAGAACTAAAAGAACGAAAAAATTCTAAAATAAATAAATACGAAAGACACTCTCGATCACAAAAGTCATCACTTTGTTTCACCGATTCGTCTACCTGAATGTGGTTATGCTTAGCATATCTCTAGGCTGCTCATTTGTTTCCAATCACCATAATGGAATGCTAATTTTTTAAATCGTAATTCCACAATTCACAAATTTTAAAACACCAATGAGCTTTTGCGCAAAATGCACACACCTCTGACTCAAATATTGCACTTGGTTATAGCAGCGCCGCAGTGGTCGACAACGAGATCACAATGTGACTATTACCCCACCATCTGCATTTCCAGATCAACATGTGAACGGCTTCACATTAATGTACTTTATACATTCACTTTAGCTGTGTTACTTACTAACAACGCGTATGAACGAACGGCGCAGCCTTTAATGCGTACGTATTTTCTTTCCATTCGAACTTTCAATGATTACTCCTTTACCTCTCCTTATATTTCGCGCACAGCGCGCACGACTCTCTTTGAAAGTGCGAACACTTATTTTTACCGAGTGGAGCAAGCAACAATCTATTTAGAAGCTTATGGAAGAGTGAAAAAGCAAAGAAAAAGGAGGAAGCTTGCCAAAGTGCTATATTCGTCGCCCCGGCAGCGGCGATGGCGACGGCGACGGCGACGGTGATGGTGACGGCAATGGCCAGCACTGCAATCATCTTTTTTGCATATGCACTTCGAGTACCGGCAAAGTCGTACAGGGGATATCGACCTCGTAACCTACTTTAATGTGCGCGATTAGTGGCGCGTCGTATTATAATCGAATATAATTTTTACATAGCACTGCTTTTAACAATGATGATGCACATTTAGTTTCCTTCCGCATGGACTTTTTCATTATTCATTCCCAAATACGCTTCTCTATTATCAATAACTAATCGTTGCTTTAAATGTCCGATTGTTTTGGCAATTAATCTAATTTATTTATATTTGAATTGGACTTGTAGCTTATAAATGCATTAGAGTTCGATAACATAAATTGTTTATCATTATCTTGTTTCTCATATGATAGATAACTTTTTATACATTGTTTATAAATTGATTAAGTTATTTTGATTTTTTATTAATCGTAAAAATAATATTTAAATAATAAGAGGAAAAAAACGACAAAATTTTGTAAGGATATAAAATTGCCTCACAATTATTGAAAAGTTTCGCAGATAAGAAAAATTTCGCAAGATATAATACACAATGATGGTAAAATGTGAGTGGCTTATAGTGAAAGTAGCAAATAGCACTACGAGAAGCACTATTACATATATTATACCGTTTCCGTATCAAATAAAAACAATAAATAACAAACAACAAAGAAACAAACAAACTCGATAATTTATTTTCAAGAAATATATTGCTTATACAGATATGATTAACTAGAAGCTGCCAATAAAACTACATGTATATTTTTGTTTTTGTAATTTATGTCAACTGTTATCGTCAATTTTTAGTAAAAATTACAAGATAAATGAATTATCCGTCGATTATTTAAGAATAATTTAAAGTTAGTCGATGATTTAGATGTAAAATTCGAACAAACATATTTACTTAATTTGAAATTTAAACTTTTTTTTTATTAAACTTATACTATATATAAACATATAATGTACCAATTATATTATACGGTATATTATATGCAATTTAATTATTTGTATGAATGCACAGATAATATGCCATTTAAGAGAATAATTTTCAGATTTTTTTACTCGACTACTTTAAAAATATTAAATATTAAAATAGAAAATACAATTGTAATATTTAAATTATGAGAAATTATTTTAGCATATTTGTTCATGAAAACTACAATTATTTGTATAATAAATGAAAAAGAAAAAAAAATTAATTCGTGATGGAAAAAAATTAATTCCTGATAAATGAAATACTAAATTGATGCAGATAACATTGCAATACGTATGTCAATATAATATTTAAATAGAATATATTTATTCATGTTTTTTTCTTTTATCATATAAGACGAATGAAAGTATTACACGAATATAATAATATATTGGTAAAATTAAATCAAAATGTTATATATATGTTCGTATATGCAGTTTAACAAATAAACAGGTTATTTAATTTATGTATTTGACCTACTATAAGAAGCTACTTAAGGAGTTTCTAAATTCTAAATCGTATTACTTATTATTATTATTATTATTATTATTATTATTATTATTATTATTATCATCATTATTATTATTGTTGTTATTGTTATTGTTATTGTTTTTATTGTAAATAACGTTAAACTTTTATTAAGATAAACTTCGTACTTCATTACTATGAACTAGATGATGTGATGTCATATCACATAAAATTGTCACGTATAATAATAGATTAGTAATAGTAGTGGTAATAGTAATACCACTTTAGTATTAATTAAAAAAGATATTAACAAAAATTGACGAAATCTTGGAATAATTTAATAATATATATATATGCATGTGTATATAAATTACGAAAAAAGTGAATATAGAATAAAACGTAATAAAGGATACGCGCACGTGCGTCTTATTTTATACATGAATTGCGCCGTTATGTTTTGCCTTTTTCCCCACCTAGCGGTCACTTTCTTTGTTTCTCTCTTTTCCTCGTTCTTTCAGGTTAGGCACGTGGCTTGTGCGATAAATATATTGTAAGATTGCATCAGTTTCAGATTTTGTTTAAGGTATCATAGACATTTTTTTTTAGGAAGATTATAAATAGTTCCTGAAAAAATTAGTAAAGTAACAGAATCTATTATAAGATTTTATATTTGCTTTTAATGAATTTTTTCTTACGGCAGTAAAATCGTGTTTCACAACTCTGGAATCTGTATAGACATCTTCGTATTTACATTTCTGAATAATGAAAGTGAAAAAGTGTTACAGAATATATTTTATAAATATGTATTATCGCATATGATTGTTTTAAGTGATAATTTTATAAAGTATATCGTACACTCAAATTCTTTATAATATATACAGAACTATTTAATTTTGTAAATAGAGCAAAAATTTGTTACTATAGTTTGCTTTACAATTAGTAATTTTTCAAAATGGAGGTAAAAATTAATTTTATTATAAAATACAAAGAATTAATTTTTATAAACGAAGCGTAAGTAATTGTATGTAAAAATTGTCTACTTAATACTTCATGTGTGTAATTTAAGTAGCGTCAACTGCAATTTAAATTCATTGAAATATATAAACAAATTTTATTCATGTTTATATAAAAAAATGTTAATGCCCCTAATAAATGAATATAATTTAAGAAAACTTCATTACAAAGATTTTATATCTTATGTTGAATAATGATTCTTAATTATGGGATTTTTAACGATTCAATAATTATCTTTTTTTTTCGTTAAATATTAAATTTAAGTAATAAAAAAAAATACGTACAAAAAAAAATAGTATGAAAAATAGCCTAATAAACTTAAGCTAAATTCTACTTTTAATATACGTGCGCTTATAATCTATTGTGCTATCTAGATGATTTTGGTTACAAATTAAAGAGAACATTTATGATAATAGTTTTTGTATTTAACTATGATGTACAATATAAGAATTAACATTCGGCTTCATAACTTTGAAAATAAATTTAAACGAACTTAAAGATAATTTTTAATATCAAAGGGTTTTATTATTAATGATAATTTGTATTTAATGTAAATATCAAGAGAAATGCAGTTTTATAGTAAATATGTTCTTAAATGTTGTAATTATAAAATTGGCAAGTACGTTATAAGCAGTAAACCACATTAGTACGTATGAGTTATCTTATTAAAAATTATAAATAATGAGTAAATTATGCATTATATAATACACATGATAATACCATTATTATATATTATTATTGTTGTTGTTGTTGTTGTTGTTGTTGTTGTTGTTGTTGTTGTTGCGTCGGAGAATAAGGCAAGGAAATGATAAAGGATATGAAAATATAGCGGCAAATAAGTATAGCAAAATAAGCCGCCAGGTTCGAATGTATTAATTATTCTACTTGATGAGATTTTCAGATAATTGGGCAATTGACATATTTTCAAACCAGTTAGCTATTCAAGAGATATTGGACCATGTTATTCGAAACAATCCGTGTCTTTTTTATAAAGAACTTTTTTTAAATTTATTCATTAGAATCCAATTAGTCAATCTGATAAAAATATTAATATTTTAATATGGAAAATTTGATACAAAAAATAAAACTATAATCATAAGTGTATCTATTAGTTTCGTATAAAAAAAAAACATGACTTTGTTTAAAAACTTAACGATACTTCGAAATAATAAATCTCCACTGTTTTAAATATCGGAATTTAATAGAAATGATGGCTCCTGTAATAGAATGGAAAACCAATACTTTCTTCTTGTGAATATAAATTAGTTGTATAACGACCCATTATAAGTATGAACCAATTAGAATTCAAGCTCATTTTAATACAAATATCGTAAACATAAACACAATTTTATTCGGCAACATTGCGTAAAATACATACGTTTACAAAGCTTGAAATATTTCTCTTATTCGCATGTTTTTGTGTCCACGGTTATACCTACTCGTGTAGCCTCATTTATTCTTAAAATATTCAACCAGTACTTTTAGAAATGGCCAGACCCACGTAATTTCTTCATGGAGTTTTTAAAATTGAGACGGTTGATGTAAGGAAAAATCAAGGATAAATTTATGACCTAGAAAAATTGAATAAAAATTACACAGGTATGGACTTACAGACGAATCTTCGTATTATGAGCAAATTATTCTAACTTATTCGTGTGCGAACCTTAAATATATTTTCTCCAGCTTTATTTCTAATGGTTTATTGGTAATGTAAATGACTATAATTTGTGGAGATATTTTTCATTATTTTTAGAATTCGGTTGTGAATTTAGACAAACTGATTAAACGTCGATTATTTCTTTTCTGACCTCACATTTTCCGACTCCGTATATAAATTGCAGTTTGAATATTTTGCGATGGGACTTGCAGCACATTTATTATCCATTCTTTTGAATCGTGATTTTATAATAGTTTAGAATGATCGAACAATTTTATCTTTATTCCATTCGACATGTCGGCAATAAATACTGCAGACTACTAAACTACTAAATATTCATTTAAGTAGTTTCTATATTTTAGTTTTTTACCATTAGAATATTATAATAATATTACTAATTTTTAATCTTTAATTTCTATTAAGTACATCAAATTTAATAACTTCATATATGTATTATAAGTAATTAGTCGCGTTATAAATTAAATGAATTAATTCAGTTGAAAATTGTAATTCATTAAATATATTACAAATTTAGAATAATGCAAAACAGACTTTTTCATTTAATTACCAACAAATTTTTCATTTATATTATTTATTTTGTAAGCTTTAATATTAATAAATAAAACATAACATTATTATTATTTATATTTAATTATCAGTATATTTAAAATTTCTTTTTATAATAAAGTAGATTTCATTCATTTCATGATATTAGTATAAAATATTTTAATTAAAACGTAAACGATAATAAAATTTAGTATCAATTACGATTCTTTTATAATTACTTAATTACATATTTAATAAGACTATTTCATAGAGGAATAAGTAACGACGTTTATGTCATCATGTATTTTGTTTATCAAATTTGTTATTTTTTTATATTGATACTTTTTTACTGATATGAAATTATGCAAGAGAATACAATTTCATTTATAAATAATATATTTTTTTGAGGATGTAATAAAATTATACTTGTATATCGATATTACTAAATAGATTACACGCATAAAATGTGGCAATTAAATTTCATGTTCCGATAAAACATTTATCGAACGAATTATATATATATATATATATATATATATATATATATATATAAGATAATAGAATTGATCTGTGTTTATATTTATACAACAAATAATTTATCATTGTATAATAATATAGAACGACAGTTTTTAAGTATTAGATATTTGTCTAAAATATTAATTTATTATAATTTCAAATATTAAGTTAATTGTTATAATTATAAAGTGTACTTATATTATATAGACTTATGAGGCCTTATACGAATATTTGCTAAATAAATAATTGAACACTTCAAACACAATCTGATTCATAATAATTATGCTTCCCCGCAAATTTCCACATTAATAATTATCTCGCTCAAAACTTAATCTAATTAAATATTTCTTTTAACTTTTATTTAATTTTACATTTTGTCCACCATTGGACTAACTAAAAAACTTTCTTCATTTTTATTCAATATTGAAGGCAACATTTGATATATCCAATTATTGAACAAATCATTAAAAATATGTCCGGCAATTAGAAACTCCTGAACAAATCTTTAAACTTTAGCTTCATAACTTAATTCAGTCGCCTGTAACTATATTATTTTTTAAATAATTTAAGGATTTCAAAACACTGTTCATATGTTATATAATTCAGATGTATATAGTTCATCTTTAAATTAAATATTTACATTTATTCAGTAGTATTTTCTGAAATTTATTATAATAACAATTATTGCTGTAATGTTCTTTGAATTAATGTATATTATATATTTTTGTACATTATCATAATGCAAATTATGATATAAACTTAAATTCAATTTATAAGACACTCTGACTATAAAATTCTAAACATCATTTTTTATACAACAGATTCTGTTTTGTATTAGACTGTACAGTAATACTTTTCTAGAGAAAAGCAGTTATGGACAAATCACTCGTGCGAAAGTGATATTTTAAATATAATAATTACATATAGCGTTTGAACAATTTATTATTCGATATAGTTTTCATCATATTTCTTGATTGTTAATAAGTTTTATTTCTGTTTATAAGATGAAGAAATAAATATTTAGGTAATATTATTTTTCGTATTTTCATGCTGTTTTTTTTTTAAACTCTCTGCAATGATTTGCTTCGGAAATATTTTCCCCTAATTTCTGTATAATTGTTTAATCTGTTACAAATCGATTTCATTAAACACGTGCAATTGAGACATTAAATTAACTTATGTTTGAATAATGTATGGTTGTTATTATTCAATATTTAGTATGAATTTTGTATTGACTCGTTGAATGATGATTAAAAAAATTGTACAAACATGTTTCTAAAAATTAATTATGTAGATTTTTAATATAATTAAATATTAAACAATGGGCATCTTTTCAGTATTTATATTACAACAATTTGATACTCTTACCTTCTATGAGATTATATTTACATTGCACTCATTTTTAAATTTCTTAGTTATGTTTATAACTGTAATTTTATAGTACAGTTATTATATGTTTAAAATTAAACCTTAATTAATAATTATATTAAAATGCTACATAAATATTCTTCATGTAGTGTAATTATTACGCTGCTTGTTTTATCAAGTCCCTATTAGATTTTCAATTATTTCTTAGAATTACGTAATCAGATTTACTTCAATTGCATTGCTTTCTTGCATTTATATTATGAGTCCTTTTTCTCACTCTTGCCTTTCCTCGAATAGCTTGTGCATCGAATATATGTTCCGCTGTTATGGACTGCTTACGATTACAATATTTTTTATTGTAATCGTATATCAACACTTAATGAATATATTATTATTCATCGATGATATTTATGATAAGCGCATTTGTAGAAATGATTTAATCATCATTTAATCCATCCTTTTATTAAAATAAAAAATGGCTGTTATCTTCAAATTTAATTTTTAATTGCAATATAAAAATATTTATATATAATATTCGATATAGTATTTGAATTTATAAAAACTTGAAAAGATTGAAAAGTAATGCAAATATTAGATATAATACTTAAATTAAAGAAACTAATGGCATTAGAAATGTGTGAGTCTCGTACGATTTTCTGCAAATTTAATTTTGATGTACTGAACACTTTAATTTTTCATTAATTTTTATTTTATAAAATAAAAGAATAATATTGTTAGATTTATAATTTTACAATTATTAAATAGATTCTCGAACGAGTTATATAAATATTATTTATAAAAAATGTTATCTTATTCAAGAACATGATCTATGACTTATGTCTGTCGATATTTAATATCAAATATGGTACATTAAAACTCGAAGTCGATGCTCGAAAAAAGTAAAAAATATAGTTATGCTGCGTAACTGCTGACTACCTCAAGGTCTATACAGAAGCATAAAATAAAAATGATAACAATCTGTTTACATACGCAAAAAAAATTTGTAAAGTATTCTTCTCTAATCTGTGCAACGAATATGGAAAAAAAAACAATTTATAGAAAATTATTTAAACATTGTTAATTACATTTTTATGCATGATTTTGAATGTTTTTATTGTTTTATAAAAACATATTCCTTTCATAATAATACATTTATAAACGAAAAGAAATTGATGCTTTAAAGCAAGGAATTCTTAACATTATTAAATAAAAATACATTTTAGTGCTATATAATTTGGTAGTAATGTTAATCCGAAAAAGGATACGTAAAGGAGAATTTGACCTGCCTACGGGAATCCCATTATAGCCTTTATTAGTTATCGGATTAAAATAAGGTGTATTTCTTTTATGTGGATGATGACAAATGATCTGCAGTATATAATTGCAAATATTGTATATATATATATATATATATATTTTTAATCTTCCAGTAATACCTGTAAATTACAATTATTGGGAACAATAAAATATTTTAAATATTTTAAGTTTATTTGTAGTATTTGCATAAGTATCAATATAATGTTATAAGTTAATTTTCCAAGTATTTAATAAATTTCATTTAATTTTTATATAAAAATAACTTTTACATATTTCAATAATATGTTTTTCATATCTATATTAAGGATTTGCTTTTGAAATATTACTTTTAAAACATAAGTTTCTGTAAAATATTAATGATTTAATTTTTGAATAAGTTATAATTAATGAATAAATTTAATTATTTGGATTAGTATGCGATTCAACATTTTGAAACAATACTATGAATTTTTTATAGGAGAAAATACTGGCATGTACGCACATTATTCATGATATTATATATTCTGAAGAAAAACAACATTAATCCTAATATATTTATTTGTTAGCATATAAGGTCGAATGTTAATATATTTCTATGTAAAAGAAAAACTGTATCACACGATTATGCGTAGAAAAACATATTTTTAAGAAAATTTGACCAATTTATAAAAAAATTGTTTCCAATTTAATATAATTTTCAAAAATTTAGTGAAAAATGTAAATAAGAAAGATCTTGATATTAAAAAATCTTTTTCTCAATATAATAAATTCTATCGATAATTTTCCTTCTTATATTATGTATCTTTATAACACTTTTTCTTTTCAGTCTCAGTCCAGAAAGAACTATTGGATCCTCGGAAAGACCGTCAAATTTGGCTTCTGTTCACCTTCCATCAGTCCCCGCCTTCCTACATTCAAAATTGAACGAGGAAATCATAGTTATATTATAAGTATTAAGATGAGGACTAGAATTTTAGAGTGCGTAGCGCCATGCAGTATCATGTGCGATTTGCGTGAACAAGTCGAGGTCAGCCATTCGTCGTCGTTGATCAACGACATCGACGCGCACGTGCGGCCTATTTTTGAAAGCATCCTATCCTAACCGATGATCTCTTATTCAAAATATAATAAACGTTTAATAAGAAGAAGTGCTTTTTCCAGACGTACCAATACACTATTTCTCACCGAGAGCACTCATAATGTTAAGGACTGGATGCCTTTGATCCGTGATTTATGGCTATGTTAATAACGTGGCATTACGAATAATTCAAAGTTGAAATCTCAATTACCTTATAGTCATTTATAATTGTGTATCAAACGCATAATTAACAAAACAATAGAATTCCTTTTTTTAGATAAAATACCTTAAGATTCATAGTTAAAAGAAATTATGTATTAGTATTGCTGCAACAATAATTTTGTTTAATATTCATGATAAGTTTGCGAATAAAATATGACAAATAAAGCCATTACAAATTTTAATTTAAATGAAATATTAGAAATTCATTTATAAACGATAATAGAAAATGAAGTTTAAAATAGCTGTACATATTAATAATTATTTTCGTACAATATTCAAATATCTAAAATTATGTTTTCATTTATTAACTTAATTGTTTAATTTCTTTCGTCAATATATATTCGTAATATAAAACATTCTTTAATAATAATTTTAATCTAATAAAGTAAAACTGTCTTTTATGTTGAGACTAATTATATAAAAATTTCTATGATATTAATGAATTTTCTTTTTATATTTACTCTAACATATTTATACTAAAAAAATAATGATTGAAGCTGTAACAGAAGAAGAATTGTGGATATCATTGTACATATAATAAATGGATTATGTACAAAATTATTCCATTATTATTTCATAATTCCATTATTATTTCATAAATAAATTAAAATACTTCTTATATACTATTATTATTCTTATATAATAAACATTCATATTAGTTCTTTTATATTTTTTAGATCAATCAACTTCTTTTGAATTAATTTAATGTACTGTAAAATCAATACTGTTGGATAAATTTTTAAAATCGTATATTGTGTAATATGATTTCTTTGTATCTATACTTTTAGAATTAATGTACTTTTTTCACGAATTTGTTTAATAAGTTGTTTATATGTAAGTAAAAACCTCATTTAACATTTCTGTCTTTTCTATTAAAATATTATAGCAATATTAAAAGATTTTTCTTTAAATTCTTTATATTGTTAACAAAATCATTTGTTCCAACAAATATCTTCTTGTTATATTTTATTTACAAAATTTCACATACATAAACAAGCTCGAGTGTGCGCAAGCGTACAGAGTTATGATTGTCGAATTATTTCAAGTTATGTGAAATATATAAATTACACACACGCACACGCACGCAACACACATATTTATTTATTTATATATATATATAATAATTAATAATCATACTTTATATTTATTATATATGTAAATATTGAAATAAACAGATATATATAGGTAAATTGATTATGAGTGTTATAATATGGTAAAGGTTAAGAGGCTATAGGATAAAGATAACACTCAGATTGAAAAATTAAATTTAATTATTACTATTAATAAATATATTAATAAATAAATAAATAGAATTAATAGATAAAAAATATATTTACTACTAACTAACCGAATGATTAAATTATTTAGTAGTAGTTTATAGTTTTTTTCAATATAAAGAAGTTAGGAAAAGAACGCAATTATCAGAAGAATTATTCATAAGTATTAATATTATTAGATAGTATTCCAGTATTTATCAAGTTTTACGAGAAATATAAAAAGCCTATGAACAAAGTGCCGAAACTCATAAATTGCAAGGATTTACCAATCTATTAGATGATATGCGATAAAATTAAACTGTAACGATGGTACAGACAATTCCAGAAAATAAATATGTAATCTTCAGTCTCAGCTTTATTATATAGTAAAAATACAGTTTACTTCGTACACATTTTCATATATATATATATGTTCAATATTACATTATTCCATATCCATAAACCATATATTATAAAATTAGATCTATTGTTTGTTGGAGTTCAAAGGAATTATATACTTTTAGTACACATAAAAATGAAATAAAAGTAATTTTCTATAATTTGTCATGTGTAAAATTATCGACAGCTATTTTATGAAAGAAAATTCCAGTAGAATTTTTCAGTTTTTATCAACATAGTGAATTTATTCAATTTAATTAATTCATCTTTGTAATACGTATTGATTTTAATTATTCGTATTATACGTATTATATTGTATTATAACGCATTATACGTATTATACGTAATTATTTATTGGGATATATAAATATTTAAATTTGCAATTATATAATTTAAATCAATTTACATTATAGATTTATGTCGCTATAATATACGATTTATTGCATTGCTTGGATGTAATGATAACATATTATACTCTTTATAACGCAATTATAATTTTCAAAACGATTTTTTTATACCATGTTCGAATATATAATTCGATTATATAGTATTTTATGAATTTCTCATTATTGGCTTAATTTAGAGTAGCAAATTTATTAAAAAAATAAAAAATTAAAAATCAAATAAAATATGTTAAAAATTTATGTTATGGTGTTTATATAAAATTTGTTCTTATTAGATAAAGAATTATTTGTGTTAATTAAATTTTATAATAAAATATTTTTTAATATTAAAAATTATTTTCTTAATTGCAAGAAGACCTATGTGTTGTATAATAATATTAGATTAAGAGCTTTTAAAATAATTTATATATTACGTTATTCACGATAATTAAATTGATTTTATTTCTGTAACTAATACAAAACAAGAATAAATAATTGAATATCTTTGAAAAATATATTAAAAAAAAAAAAAAATTAATATTATTAAATGCGTTTTTTCTATATCAATTTTAATCTGTACTTTTTATTTTTAGAATATTTAAGATTATTTTAAATTGTTTTTCATGTTATAAAAATTGAAATTTCAGTTAACATTATTTTTAATTTATTAATTTATATAAATAAAAAATCAAAATTAAATGAGTTCTAAAATATATACAAATAATCTTAATATCCAGCAAATTGATTTATTTAATATATCAAAGAATATGGATTGAGATTTTGAATTTTCAATTATCTAATAGGTATCATGAAAAATTTTTAAATAGATAATTATTTTAACCTTTGTTATAATTAGTACCATTATACAATTATAATTAATAAACTATTAAATTTTATAATTCAATTTAAAGTACTTGCTGATAATAAAGTAATTGCCACTATTATAATCAATAAAAAATAAATCTAAAAGTAGTTGACAAATAAAATTGTACACATTTGAATAATATATGTAATATATAAGTTTATTGAACAGACGGATTTGTAATGTTTTCGATTTGCTTTGCACTGAAATAAAGAATATCTGGAAAATAGCTTTTCTTCCGCTTTCTTTCGAGGAAATTCGTGTTAATTATAATTAATAGTCATGTTGTATAACGCGATTATAATTTTCTATAATAATTATAATATCAATCGTAATATAATTGTAATGACAATTCTTATTCATATAAAGTATTAATAAGTTTATACTTTTAAAAAAATGTACATTAATAATAGTAAAATAGATTGTCATAAAGAAGCTTTAACAATTAAAATATATAAACGATTATACAATCATATAATAGTTAATCCAAAAATTTCTTAATATTCAAATATCGCCTTCGTATTATTTTCTATCGAACTCGCTTCTCGATAATAAATATAATTGTACATTTTTAAAAGTTATCTGTACAAACTGAATTTTCACTTTATTTCTTCCTGGATATGGTTTTTCTTTCATTTATAGAATTCATCCATGCGATCGCCGCGGGATTTATCATGATAAATATGCAGATTGTGAATTACATATAGTTAGATGAAAGACACGAATGAATTAAAAATTATGAAAAGTTTGTGCTTTATTACACACTGCCACTAGTTATTGATTTTATCACAATTATACATTTGATAATTTTCATATTTAAAATCACAATCGTCTCATTTTTCTTTCATTTTGTATTGCGTTCTAGACAATCTGGACTTTCCTTTCTGTACGAACACTATAATTTCTTTATACATATACGCACACTACTATATTATATATGTATGTGTGTATACGTATGCAATATGTATATATATATATATTATTGGATGACAGTTCGTAAAATTTTTCATTGCATGTTTTATTTTATATATTTACAATATATAAACTTTTCCTTTTCAAGATATATTAATGTGCAAGTGATATTTTACGTATTGTAAGAAAATTATTATTTAATATATTTTACAAATAATTATTTATAATTACTTTTGCTTACATAGATCTTAGCAGAATAAGTATAAAAAAGGAAATTTGAATTTTTTAAATTGTCTCTGTTTAGAAAGAATATCACAAGATTATAATTTTTTGTCTGAAAAAACAACACGTAGATATTTTTGACATTAAACATTTGTCAAAGTAGTGTGCTGATAGATATATAAATGTCAATATTAAAATTGTAATAGTACAAAAAATACTCATAATTCATATTTTATTCTTTTTATTAGTTAATATGCGAATAAATTTTTATAATGAAGCGGATTGAGAAAATATTGCGTGAATATAATTTATCATGTTTAATATGTAATATTCGTATACAATTATATTATTCACTGATATTGTTTAGTATAATGTAACAATAAACGCGTTTTATTATTTAACCCTGGTTGATCCCTTATACGAAAAATACGCAATGAACATTAACGATTTTGTTTAGAGTTTATTACAGAAATTATAATATTCTTTATTTTCGAAGAAATATTTATTTTCTTAACACCATTAATTTTCTTAATGGAAATAAAAAAGAAACAATTTATATATATACAGCACATATAGTTGAAATGCTTACAGAATCAAGCAAAGGCCAATACTTTCCTGTTTTTATAATTGAATTACATAGCATCTTACATATTTTTTAAAAACAATTTTACACTGCACAAAAGTGTGAAAATGCACACTAATTTTTTTTTTTCATTTTTGCATTATATAACAACAATACTTTGTCAAAACGACGATAAGTAAAGCTACATCAGTAAGAAAAATGTATAATAGCGCTGGGAATTTGAATTCATCCTCTGAGGTAACATTATTTCTTATTCTTAATTCATTGTCGCCGAGAATTAATTTATCTCCTTCAGCAAAAATTTAAGTCTTAAATTAATAAAACTTATATTATACTATGTGGCACCGATAAGTTTTAAAATTTAATATGATTTATCGATAGAGTAATTAGCGTTTTAAATGTCTTAATATACGATTGTGAAAGATTTCCTAACTCAAACGCGTCAAGAAGAAATAAGAGGCTTAGATTATTTTATTATATTTTTAATTTATTCAAAACTTTACGTGGTTTTTAGTTAAACCTTATGCACAGTGTGAAAAAATTTTACTTGGTACCTGCATATTTGGAAGGCAAAGAAGGCACGAGGTACCGCTATTTTATGTCGTTTTTCACGTGAAAGCCAAATATAATTATGATAAATATTTCGAAATTTGTTCTCTTTTACATAGACTTGTACATCCTCACATTTGTATACACTTTGGTTTGCTACAAAATGTTATTAGTTTCTTTTGTTCAAGTGTTCTTGTGGAAATTAATTTTCCTATTTTTATCTAAAAAAAATTCTTTATTTTTGCAGGATAATTTTCAAATTTCTTGCTTAAATTCAACATCTGTAAAAAGATTTTGTTGTTGTTGCTGTCATTTTAATCTTTTAACTAAATTAATAACTAAGAGATTTAGTTTTAGATTTTTTGTTTTGCTTTTCTTTTAAAACACACATATTTTCTCTTTTATATATAATTGCTAATATATAATTGAGTAATATATTAATTACTTAATTATATTTGTTAAAGCTACTAGGCAAAAATTTCAATAAAACTTTACATAATAATTTGATGATAACATAAGTGACATTGAAAGTGTCATTTGAATAATTTGAAATTGCTCACATTGACAAATTCATGAAATTTTGTTTCCATCAATAAAATAATTTTATCAATTTTATCAATATATCAATCATTTATTCTACTGAATATTTTATAGTAAATATTTTTATAAAATTTTTCACATCAGACCGGATAATGATTTGCAGTTAATTGATCTTCTAGGATGAATACCATTGCAAAGGAAGATATTAATTTTTCCATAAAACACTTTTACAAATATATTTATTATGAATTTCATATTTTATTTTTTGGTATATAAATAGCGCTTAATATTAACCATTTTGTCGAATTTACTTAACAAATAGAAGTAGCAGCCAAGTTATAAACATTGTGCAGTTTCTCTTTATCAACTATTCATTTTAATAAAATATTAATGTATAATTTGCATCTTATCGCAATTAGTATATTTTGTAAGGTGCAAAAACTGATTTGGCGATATGCTAATTCTTTTTGTATTTTATAAAATTAGTATGTATCGCTTCTTTTTTCCTTTTGCTTTCAATTTTACAAATAATACAATGCAAAGGGCATGTCAGTCGACTTTAATCAGTTATTATTACGTCCCTATTGATATTTGCAAACCAATATTTGTCAGTAACTAAAGAAAAGGAAAGCCCTTGCTGCAATAACTAAAATAAAAACGAATAAATAAATTGTCTGGCTTCGCACTGCGCGCCTCATTCGCCGTCTTTTACCATCGCGGCGTCGCAACTTAGAATTCGTAGTATTTTAAAAACTCCCGTACGGTTTTTAAAGTCTAACAATTGCAATCTCAACATTTGTCGATCATTTTATAAATATTATATAGGATTTTTTGTTTTCATTTTTCGTTTCTTTGTGCGCACAGGTTTATATATATATATAATATACTATACGATCGATCGATCAGAGCTTCGCTTTGTTTAACTTCATTTCATTTATTATATTTTTCATTCTTCATCGACTTTTCTGCTTTGTTAAAATCCCGTCTTAAGAAGCTTTATTAAAATGTTCAGTGTAAAAATAGTAGTATGGTTATATTACAGTTTCCGAAACTCGAATATTGTTGTGAATTCTCGATTAAAATACGAATAATTATGCGTCATGTGGTTATTTAACCTATAAATCCTGACTTCTTTCATAGTTTTGTTCCTCTTTGTGAATGCAATTTTTAATATCATCATTAATATACCTTTCGATCGATCATCACCGAAGGCTCTAATTTACTAAATTATGCTACAAACGTCTATATATAATCAGCTCTTGATCCCCTTGATCTTCGTCTCTTCTTAAAAATGTTCTCTAACTCGCTCAATACAAAAGCTAACAACAATACGGTGACAACAAGTAAAATTCATTTTCCAGTCTCGTAACGAGATCACTTCCAGGGTAGACCATCAGTTATGTTAATGTGCAAAACGCTGTTTTTCTTTCTATCCTCGTATACTTTACTCGAAAAATTCCAAATGTAATAATTTTGTTCTGGAATTGCTGATTGTGTATCATACAATCAATGGCCACCTGAAAATTCTCTGTCCCATCTCCTCAACGGAGGATCTAAGAGGTTAAGTGTCATTATTTCTTGTAATTCCCAGTTGTTTTCAAGTAACCTCCACGACGCGATGCTCAAGCCGATTATCGCTGGACTGTTGATGCTACGTCAATAGTTTTATGAACATCAATGCCAGCGATATATTGATAAATAGTACGAGCATCACTAGTTGCTGTCGCGAGAACCAGTCCTGCAAAATATAAAAATTGTGCAAATTAAGCTAATGGATTCAAATGTGAAGTTGGAGATAATGATTATTGTTCTAAAGACTCTTAGGAGTCATTGCTCCATAAGATAATAAGGGAAACATAAGATATTTTAACAAGAGAACTAAATCTATTTTATTATTTTATATCTAATATTCACGCAAATAGTACGATTGAAAAATAATATGCAATTTTCTTTAATAATTTTAATATTATTAAACTTATTTACGTAGTTTTTGTTTGCAAAAACTTTTATACTTATACGTATAACTTTTATAATACTTAACAAAAGGGAAAACTATATATTTAATGAAGCTTATACATCAGAAATTTGTTTGTAAAGTTTTGAATAAGGAAAATTAATTTTTAATTGTATTTTTCATATTCTATTTTAGATAAAGAATATTATCAAATATAAATATCAATAAAGTTTAATAAACCAAGTTCTATATAATTTTCTCTAATTCTCTAGTATTATTTATGGTAATTTTATTTAGCAATAAAAACAATATTATTTAATTATTTTGCAAAGAATTACATTAGTACAGAATATACGGGAATATTTTGCTGTGAAAAGTTCGAAATTTAAACATTTTTTTTTTACATCTTTCAAAACAAGTATTTTTAAATGAAAGCTGGTAAAATTTTATGTGCTTAAACATATTCAGTAACTATCAAGAAATTTATATTTTGAAGTAGAGGTATAAAAATTTTGTACGTATATTTTTTTTAAATTGACTTTACGCGGTTGTAAAAATGACTTTGCAAAATTTTTAATCCAATCATTTTGAAGTTTTATTTAAGCTAATTTATCAACGAAAAACGACAAAATTACTTAGGCTTTCACTCTTTTAAAATACGTAATTTATTAATTCTCAAAATCATAAATTCTATTTAACGTAATATTAACACGAATATTATTAAAAACTATTATCTGATTTATACTTAATACTCATTCATTCATTTGAAATTGTTTTCACAGTATAGAGTAAATTTTGACACGTTTTCATAACTTTCATTTTAATTAAACAAAAAACAAAAAAAAAAACAAAAAAACAAAAATAAAGTTCAATGAATGTATATAAATGATTTCGAATATAAAAATGTATTAAATTATTAAAAAAAAACTTTAAATCGGGGGTAATAATATTTACTTTATTAAAAAAAAATTCTAAAACTTTCATCAGTTTTTAAGATTTTAAGATACTTCAGTGGAATCATTATTTAAAATTTATTTATAGAGTATAGCATTCTATATAAGATTTCTTCAAGATTTCTATAATAGTGTATTTAAGATATAAAAATATCTTCCATTCGGATTTTTTATTACAGTCATTTGCCTTTTTATAATTAAAAAATATTTAATTGTAGTTGAAAATATTTATAATTTATCGAATAAAATAATTTAGAATATATTCGTGATTATTTGTGATATTTATAAATATATATATATATATATATATATATATATATATATATATATCGGCATTAAAAATACAATTATGATTATTATAATAATTATTATAAAATAATAATTACATAATAATAATAATAATAAGAAAAAGAAGAAGAAGAAGAAGAACAACAACAGCAACGACAACAATTATAATGATGATTATGATGATTATGATAAATAATTAATAATGGTATGATACGTATAATCATAATGCTAATAATAATAAAAAATATTGATAACGAGAAATCACATGTAATTAAAGGGATGGAAATATCCGAAGATAAGGAATCGTTTTCCCCGATACAACTATTATCATCAACTTCGTAAGTGCTTGGTACCGAGTTTGGTAATAATTTAATATATAATAATAATATTTGTCATGTTAATATTGTTTAGTAATTTTTTATATCAAGTCGATTTAAATATCTGACGTTTTATATATTATAATTATAAATTATTGTTATGATATAAATATTAATACAAAAAGTAATATTAATTTTATTGGTAATGAAATACATAAATCTATGATAATTATTTTTTATCTCGATACTTTTGCTAGAGCATGCTATCTTATAAGATAACGTTATAAAATATAAATGTCTGTCGATAATTAGATAGTTTGGCTAAATTTCTGCGAATGTAGATTAAACGTATATTAAAACTACGAACGATAGGGAGAAACAACTATCAAGCTCTATTTACCGAAATATGCTTTAGTTACTATCCCGATGCTTTTATCGAAGTGCATTGGTGAATCTCGATTAAGAATGGAAATGCGAACGATATTTGTAAATATAAAAGCGTCCACTTGCATCAATGGAAATTAATTGATTATATGTATATATAATACGGCATGTGCGGTAAGGATACGTTTCAGCAACGGAGTTAATTGACATTTCGCATCATTATCGAAAAAAAGTACCGCGCTGAGTCTCGATTTTCACTGAACACTCACTTTAACTTGAGGACTGACTAGGTAGAGCAGAGGATTGGCACGGAGCCTCTCATGCTCGTCGATTTGCCTGCGAATCTCCTCACGCCTCATACTGCTTAACACGCTGACCTCTTCTCTAGACAGCGGGCTGGTTGCGGTCAATTGTATCGGCTGCGCCACGTCCGGCAGTGATTTCTTTCGTTGTAAGCTCATCGCTGCCGCCGGCATCGCCTAAACAACAGGGCAGAGGGAGTAGGACTTGCTATTTTCCATTTTATACCATTACATCAAACCTTCACTTTAAGCTCCATTTTCTCGTTTTTCTTACTTTTCATTTTTTTTTTCACCCTTTATTATTACTTCTTATTGTTATTGTTATTATCATTATTGTTATCATTGTTGTTATCATTATTATTATCATTATTGTTATCATTATTGTTATCATTGTTATCATTGTTGTTGTTGTTATTATTATTATTATTATTATTATTATTATTATTATTATTATCATTATTATCATTATTATCATTATGATCATTATTATCATTATTAGTAATAGTATTTTGCGTTTTTAATTATCGTTAGGTTTTATTTTGATTTTAATTCTGGTAATGTTTAAAAATATTTGAAAATAATTTCATATTTACTTGATTGACTGGAAAAATTAATTATGTATAAAGTCGAAACGTTTTTGCCCAATTAATCGCCCACATTATTATTATAAGATACTCATGTTAAATAAATTTAATAGATTGTTATCAATGTGTTGCCAATGGATTTTAAGGCTTTAGAAGATATATAGACTAATGTGTTTACAAATGGCAAATCGAATACTTCAATAACTGTTCTTTTAATTGAAAAAGTTTTTCAACGATTCATAACAATATAAACATATTTATTATATTAATATATTCTTAAAATGTATTTACAGTCAAAGATATCTACGGGAATGCTTTTATGTGAGACATTTTTTTTTCTTCATATTTTAGGCTATAAAAAAATCATTCAATAAAATAACTAATAATTCTCATGAAATTCACAGATTATGCCTTTTTTCATGCTTACTGACTACATCTGGTAGTTTCGGCTACAGGATTACTACGAAGAAAGAAACTATAACCGTATTTTATGCTCTATCGTCGTTATCATCGTGTCATTCAACATCGAAACTAGATATCTAAAGTGTGGATTTTTTTTGTAAAATTCTATCGATCAATCGTTAGACACGAGCGGCGTAAATATTGCATTGTATTTAGAAAATGAATTTTATTGAATATTTCAAAGATTATTATAAGTAGGCAAATAAAATAACATATAACAAATAATAGCTAATACTAATAATAAGTAATTTTGGATTAATTAATATGAGAATGAAAATTTTAATTTTTATACGCGTACCATAATAGTAATTGTAATATGCAAAAATATACGTTGTATACTATTCTGTAACATATGCCTAGGGTTTTCTATATATATATATATATATATATATATATGCTTTCACTCATTGTTCATATCTATATATTATAAATTCCCTTATTAATTTAAATTTTATTTTACATACGTACATATAGCCATACAAGAGAGATAAGATGATAAAAGTAAAGGCGCGTGATCTATAGACTAGTATTGAACAATATAGTAACGAGCGTAGAATTATAATTGAATACGTCGATTCATAAACTATGCAATTTCTAGCCAAATGCGCAACGAACTCGGCGAGTCCAATCCTGGAAACACGCCAACTGTGAATCCTCGTCCCCATAATTTTACTTGACGCCGTCAGTGCGCTGACAAAACGTTGTCCTTGCCAGTGTCCGTACCATCGCCCGTGAAAATTTTCATTGATCTATATGTTTTTTTAGCAGTGATTAAAAGACAAGTATACGATATGATACATTTTTAAATGGCATCTATATTTGTTAGCTGGAAATAAACTCTGCACATTATTTTATTCTCGATTTCTTCTTTTCTTACACAAATAGTCGGCATTAATTATACAACGTATATCATCGAACGAGCGTGAATAATTAATAAATTGACACAAAGTTAGATCGGGATTTTGTTGTAGCCTCGTTTGTTTCATTAATAATAAAATAACTGGGAGTATGGGTGTATGAGATCGTTTTATTTTATATGTCTGAATATTTTGTAAAATATTGCATTACCAAAGTATCGATAAAAATTCTTATCTGACGAGTTAATTATGGAACTGAGACGTTTATTAAAAAAATATAATAAAACTCATGTCAATAATTCATATTTTAAAGAAATAATATTTACACGCATGTAAGAGTTTATTATTTATTATATTTATATTTATTTTAAATAAATTTTAAGTATTCAAGGTTAAATGCTAAAATGTTTATATTATGTATTTTAACAAATAAAAATGTACGAATTAATCATTGACTGTCGTCATGCAATAAGATCGTTACAATTTTAGTAAGGAATTTCTTGAATAATTTATTATTATTTCATCAATTTGACGTCTATTACAAAACCACTAGTTTAATTAATACTACATAATCATTGAAATTTTGAAGTCGTATTATTTAATTTGAAATATCTCTATGATTTCATATTCATGCATTTCCGGGAATAAACAATAACTACTTTTATAATCATTTTCGTAGTTAAGCATTTATATATCCGCTTTTAAAATTGTAAATATAAATAGTTATTGATTTGAAATTATTAAAATTAGATATTGCAAATGTATTTATCGCTTGATTTATGTTGAGCTAGCTTTGAAAATAAATAATGAAAGACAGATCGAATGACTTTAATTATTTACAGTCTGTTAAATTTATATATTCATTTTTTAATACATGTGTCTGCATGCGTGTAATAAATGTATATTCATGCATAGCTATGAAACCCTTGAAAAATTCTAATCCTTGCATAGATTAGACAGTTAACTGCTAGGAAGAGAGTCTCGGAGCTTTTAAAATATTACTCGTTTGGCAACGATTAAGAAATCCATTTAAAACAATAGAATTTGCATGATTTCTCGCAAAACTGATGCAATTATATTAATGAAAAAATAAGCAGTTGCAAAAGAAAATATTTCTTTATCTTCTATTTGTGTATAAATATTACACAATAGTAATAAAGTTACATCAGTAGTAATAAATTTTGAATTCACTCGATTGAATTAGGACTCGAGCTTCTTATCGATCACTAATTAATTTCGACAATCTTAAGCTTTACTCATCAAAAATCGGCGCACTTCTCAATTTTGCCTTTAACTTTTATCACCGACACAGTAAATCACCAATGAACGATCGCTAATAAAGCAGTTGCAGAGGAAATGTCTTCGCATATTCCAAGCTCTCGACAGCGGAATGCGGAAGACCGTTCGAGTAGAGAATGAAAGTACCTCGACGGGCGGTGCAACGATCCAGGATTCGGAGGCCCTCCTGGCCATGAGAGCCGGACTGCATAGTAACGCCTCTTCCTCCTCGTCCGGCTCGGAGGACCAAAACATTGCCACTACGGCAGCTACAGCTGCTCCTGCTTTCTCTTCAAGCACCTCGCATACCGCACACTAATATCGTTCGACTATCGCGCGTAGGGCGTGTAAAGGGATGACAAAAAAAAAAAAAAGAAGAAGCGAGACCGGGTGCCCGTAAGGGCCCCGCTTTATTTGAAAACCGTCGCGTGAGTGGAGGCTGCTAGTCCATAGACTAAAGGCAGCCGCACGCGTACGTATGCTTGACAAAAATAGAGCGAGGCTCGCTGTCTCTTTTTCTTCTCTGTGCGTCCCCACTATCGTGTTTTCTTTTTTTTTTTCTTTTTGCAGGCTCGTCGTCGCCAGTGCAGCACCGATGACGAGGAAGTACCGGCGAGCTCTCGCACTACCTTCTATCGATACTTGTGCTTTACGTTTGCGAATCGCCTTATCTGAAGGCTATTTATCGTCCGGGTTAACGGACCGCGGATACAGACCGGCTAGAGCCTGACATTGAAAATCTTGATGGATTACTGAGATTCGCGAGTCCAAAACTCTGTCAAGTTCAATGAAACGGGTGTAACGGTGATTCGCTCTTTTCTATCCGTTGGTATATTATTTATTTATTAATAATTATTGCAAGTGCGGCATTACACATCGGGGACGTCAAAATTTTTTATATGCGATGGAAAGAAGTGAATAATTGCCTAGTCCTTTAAAATATATCACTTGTAAATAATCGGTAAACTGACGATATTCGGTATGAAAGAGTTCGATAGTAGAGTGAATTAACAGTCTTGGGACAATTGAAATACAAGCTGTGTTGGATTCCACAAGTTACACAACAATTACATTTAAGCGAATTATATAAAAACACAATGTATATAATTAATTAAGACTTTAGAATGATTGTAATATAGAAAATTGAAATAAAATCTTTATAATCGAGTGTAAAAATTATAAAAGAAAAGAGAAAATTGGAAAAAAAATCTACTGTTGCATCAAAATCATGTTATTAATTTTCTATTACAAGCTTAAATTGTCCCATTGAGTATATATTAATTTAACAAATAAAAATCACCTATCTTAATTTAATTTATAATATTGTTTATTCTGTGTTAAACTTATAAAAAGAAAAACAAAGCCTGTACACTTTTCTACTATTTATTTATTAAATATTTATTAAATTTATATAAAATTGTTCATTTAAATATTTCAATTTCAAATGAAACGCAATAAAAATTATATGAAATATATGAATAAAAAATTTCCTTTGTTCACGACAAAACTTGGATTTACACAAAATTCGAACAAATACATTGATAGCATATATCTGCGCCCGTGCGCATGTGTTTATGTGTGTACAGTGTATGATAATTACTTATAAACTCTATTATCTTCACTATAGAGTTTATTTGTATATTTGTCATATTAATCGAACAAATATTAATTTTTATATTTTAGTTTCAAACTGATAATTTAAAATGCACGAATAGTGTCTTTCAATAATTTTCTATATTAGAGGATTTTGTTTCATTAATTTTATGGACATTATGAGTCAACGCGAGTTTCCGTGATTAACGGTAATGTGAAAATCGTCTATCGGCATTAAGCGATTTTCCTCTCTTTCTCATCGTCCCCGGACTTTAGCCAGGTTTCCCGAAAATTATTTTGAGAGTCTCAAAATATCGCTGATTGTAAAGCCGATGCTTCTTCTTAATACAACTTCTCTCGCGTGTATCGCTGTCCTCGCTTAAATATTTGGCACGCAGCTGAA